GGAGCTGCTGCTGCTGCAGAGCACGGCGGAGCAGCTGCGCCAGACGGCGCTGCAGCAGGAGGCGCGCATCCGCGCGGACCAGGACACCATCCGCGAGCTCACCGGCAAGCTGGGCCGCTGCGAGAGCGGCCTGCCGCGCGGCCTGCAGGACACCGGGCCCCGCCGGGACACCATGGCCGACGGCGCCTGGGACTCGCCCGCGCTCTTCCTCGAGCTGGAGGACGCCGTGCGCGCCCTGCGAGACCGTCTCGACCGCCTGGAGGTGAGCGCTGCGCCGTGCGCGGTTCGGGTCTCGTCGGGGGTGAGAGGGGCGCCGCCCACCGAGGGCGTCGGGCAACCACCGCCGGGTGCGGGGCCCCTGGGAGGCCCCGGCGAGTCGGACCCCGGGTCTGTTGTCTGCAGACGGAGTGGAGCGCTGGTCGCAGGGGTGGGCGGGGAGGAGAAGGGAAGTCTCCGAGAACAGCAGAGGGACCGTGGCGGGGTGGAGGGGCGCCGGAAAGACGCATCGCCCTCCTGTTCCCTCCAGGAACCGCTCTGAGCCTGTCCGGCATCTGCGGAGTGGACGTAACCGGCTCCATTCGCAGAGGAGTGGAATGTAGGCTGGGCGCATACTGGGTAGGGCCCCTTTAAATGGCCTTTGCATTCTCTTCCCAGCACGTTCAAAGGGGCAGCAGCCCCACTGGCACTCCCTGGGTCAAGCGCTAGGATGAGCTGCAGGGAGACAGGTGTCACTCCCCGTGTCCCTTGCCACCCCAAGTTCCGCGCTCTGGCTGGGGTGACGAACTGGCCGAGCTCCCCCTCCCCAAACCTGGAAGCTCTAGGTGGAGACCCGAGTGGAGACAGCCTCATGGGGGTTCCTCCAGCCTTCCTCATCTTTCTCCAAGTCCCTGGCACAGGATGGGGTCAGCCACCAGGGCTGGGTCATGGGAGTCTGCACCTGCTGTCGAGTGCCCCTGGGCCAGTCATTTCTCCTCTGACTAGACCTTGTCCTCTCCTGGGAGGCTACTTGAGCCTTTCTGGAAGGGTTGCCCCAGGACAAGAGTCCAGACCCCCTAACCCCCCAGGCCCCCCCTCTGTGATTTCCAGGCTGCTGCTGAGGGGGGAGCAGCAAGACTGGACCTGTGGAAGGAGTGGGGAGGGGCCACGGCACAGGCTGCCCCCTTAGCTCCCCACACCGAGCACAGCTGGACAGGCAGAGGCAGGAGGGAGCTTCCTGGAGCTTCTCTGCAGCGCCAGTCTCCCTCTGGACTGCGAGGGCCAGGCGAGGGGGCCTGGGTGGAGAGGGAGGCAGAGTCTCTCCTCGCCTGGACCGTGGAGATGGTAACAGCACTGTCACGGGGGCGTTGGGGGGACGAAGGGGTTCACCTCAGGAGGGCTCAGTCTGTGCGGGCGGCAGTGGCATCACATTGCGAATGTCTAAAATGCAGCCCACACCAGTGGGCACAAATCCTCCTTTGTGGAAATAGACTTTAGTAATGTAAAAAACAAACTGGTTTCCAGTAAACGTCCTCTTGCCTGCCACAGCCCCTGCCCGTGCCCAGATGGTGCGGCTCCTCCCACGGCTGGGCTGGCAGGGCCGGTCAGGCTCTCCCCAGGCACCTGCGCATTTGGCAGGAGACTGAGGTTGGGGCATCCCTGGGGCTGGGATTTGGCCCCAGTCTCCCTCCTGGCAGGGCAGCCCTGCCCGCCATGCCCTCTCAGGCTCTCAGAGTGTAGTGGACGCGGAGAGGGCCCCCACGGGGTGGCCGCCGCCTCCGTCTGCTAAGATAGCAATCTCTTTGGGGCCCTTGAGGGTCTGGGCTCTGGATGTGGGCCCCACCAGATGTGGGGTCAGACTATGGGACCCCAGGCGCTCTGCCTCTGTCTAACATTTCCCCCCAGAAAGGTGCTTCCGAATTTCCAGAGCTTTCCCTCTTCCCCCTCAACTCTTCCCCGAAACAGAAGAACGTGCTCTGTCTGGCTGATGTCCCTGGGGTGACAGGCTGGCTGGGCCCCGTCTCGCTGGACCCCCCTCTGACACCCCCTGCTGACGGTGCCCTCCTGGGCACCTGCACGCCCGCCCGGCTCTGGACACTCACAGCCTCCTTCCCCTCTGCTTCTCTGGCTCCCCGCGGGCCCCTCTGGCTCCTCTCGCTTCTGCTGGGTGAGCTCAGCCCTCCTGGAGGCATCTAGCACCGTCCCACTGTGGTGCCCCACCCACTCCGTGTCCAGCTTTCTCTCTCCCAGCTCCACTGACTGCTCCACTGACCTCCACTGGATGTCCCCTGGCCCGACCGGCACACGCCTGAAGCCTGTCCTCTCCCCACCTGCTTCTCAGACGTGTTCAGAGGGGCCCTCGCGGTCTCTACCTGCTCCTTCCTCCTCTTCCAGTCAGCCCCAGGACCTTCCTCCAGCCCACCCTGAGGCTCCCTATGCTGCAAATGCGTCAGCCTGCTATAGACTCCCGGTGCCTAGGTTACCCTCCTCCTGGGGGCCTTCCCTGATGGCACTGCCCCCCCACCCCCCGCCCCTCTTTCTGCTCCATAATCTTCCACACACCCCTGCCCATCTTCCCTGCATCGCCCTCTCCCCCACTCCGCTGGACTGGCTACCAAGGGGGAGCAAAGGTGCTTCTGGCCTGGCCTCTCCCCCCAGGCCTCGAGGGGTGCCACACTTGAAGGCTTAGGAGAAACTGGCATTTAAAGATTATTCATTGAACAACTTTGTTTGCATTTGTGCTGCTATTGTTGCTGTTCACTTGAAAAGTCAAAGTCAAAGCCTGGGAGAGGGCAAAAATACATCTAACTCCACCACGCGTCCCCTTGCAGCCTCCTTTGGGCTTATCCAAAAGCAGAGGTGGTTCCAGAGTTGCCAGGCATTGCCGGTAATGACCATTGTAATGACGGCCGCCATGTCCGGGCCTGGCCCGCGCCCCATGGCCACCATCCACCTCCTGTTGCTGGAGACGGCGGCTGCTTCTCGTTTTTTTTCTTCTAGAAGCTCGTTGGGAGGTGGATTTCATGCAGATAGCGCTCTTTCACTCTCGCAGTCATCGACTGGCTCCTTCAGGCTGACTTCCCAGGTCACAGGATATTGACTGTTTATGACTGTGGCCAAGAACCACCTGGCCACATGGGGCCCTTTACATGGCCACCGGCGCGGATGTGTGTTCTCGTGTTCCATTTTGCACTGCGTTAATCTAGTGTGCACTGGAATTTCAAGATTGGTGTAAGCAGCAGCTCTCCAACACAGACCACATCTGTAACCCAGCCCGGTGAGCCAGCCGCCTCCCCTCGCCGCAGAGGGGACCTCAGCAAAGCCATCGTGCTGATGGGCACAGAGGTGCTGGCCGCAGGGTTTCCGGCCATGCTGTCTGTTGCAATAAGCACAGTCTCCCACTAGGCTCGGGGCATCATCACATCCCGTCCTTCTAAAGCTTTGATGAGGGTGATGATATACTAGCCCCCTTGTACCGAGGGGAAAAACTAGGCTCAGAGACGTTAAGACACTGCCCCAAGGCCACACAGCCATGGAACCTCGATTTGCCCCTGCTAGTGTCTGGCTCTCTGAACTCAGTTTTTGTGTCTGTAAGGACTTACCCTGGCGACCTGCTTGACACTGCTTTGTTGCTGTTCTTGTTACTGGCGGTGGTGGTGGCTGGTTTTTTTTTTTTTCAGGTGTATTTACCTTTGAATCCGCAAGCGCTCGGCTATCTTGCGAAGCACACAAATCTTAATGAAGTTTCACGCATGGATGTACCCCTGAAAGCACCACCCAAGTCCAGACTCAGAACACATCATGGCCCCCAAAAGGCTCCTTTGCGACCCCCAAAGTGCCAGCTCGGGCCTCCCCCACCATCCATCAGCGATGCCGGGCCTGGGCTTCACACAGCCGCTCAGACAACTTTGTGTCCAGCGGACGCTGCCCGCGTGAGGCCCGACGCCAGGTCTGGCCTGTCCTGGCGGCTGTTCGTGGCCATGCTGCCCGGGCACCGCACTCCCACGCATGGGGGACTCCTCAGCGCCCCGTTCTTCGAGGGGTGGGCCTGCTTCTGGCGTGGGGTGATGACAAAGCTGCCACAGTCCTTCCTGGGCCGGCTCTCAGCCGTCGGCCCGTTTCTCCGTGGAAGCGGGGTGCCTGGGTTGTGGCAGAGGCGTGGCCCCAGCCTTGGCTGGCGCTTCTTGGGCGCTTCCAGGCAGCAGTGAGCCTTGGCACCCTGCCCCCGGGGGCGCGCCAGCTCAGTGTGGTCTTTTTCACGACTGGCTCTGGTGGGCGCGCAGAGCGCTGGGCTTCCTTTATGTCTCTGTGACTCACGCTGCTTGGCACCTTCTTGGGCTTGTTGGCCATTTTGTGCAGGCCGTGGCTGTGGGAGGTGCTGTGAGGTCAGGGGCTGGCACCCCTCGCCCGCGAGTTCTGGGGCTTCCCAGGACAACCCTGGGTGCAGAGTCCCCCTGAGCCCTAGGACAGGGATTGAGACAGCCGACCCAAACAAGGCCCGCAAAGGGCACACAGCCCTCGCCTGACGCTCGGGAAGCTGTGCCCAGAGGGGCCGAGGGACTGGCTGGCACTCACGCAACACGGCATGTTAGGACAGGCGGGGGTGCTCTTTGCTACGGCCTTTGTGCTAGAAAAGGAGCTCGCAAAGCAGCAACTTGCCCAGGAGCCCTCCAAGGGAGAGGCGAGGGGGGCTGAGGTTGGGGTGTCTGGTCACACATTCTGTGGGCCTCGGAGCCAGGACGGTGTGTGTCACGACCCTGCCAGTGCTCCAGCCTCTTGGAAAGCGCCTTCTCCTGTCCTCTCAGCCTCACTGCCCACCCACTCAGCACCCTGACGGCACCCAGAGCACAGAGACCAGCCCCTTCTCCCTCCCCCACAGTCCCAAGTGGGCACTGGGGCACGGGGACCCGCCTAGGGTGAGACGGAGGCAGTGACTGCTGAGCCTGGGGGGAAGCAGGGAGCAGAGGGGCACCAGGAAGCCTCCCCGACCCAACTGTCCCGTCGCTGCCACCGGCAGAGCCCACGGCTTCTTGGGCACGGCGCCTGCACGGCTGAGCCCGCCTCCCACCAACTGAGAGCCACACCTGGACACCCCAGGAGAGGCTGCAGGGCTGAGCCATCCCCTGTCCTGGGCCAGGCCGTTCGGTCCCACAGGAACCCTGGGACTGCTCCTTCCCCACTCACAGGTGAGCAGGTGCGGCTCAGGGAGGCTAAGAAACTGCCCAGGTCACTCATCAGGGATTCAGACTGGGCAGCCTGGCTCCAGGGCCCCTCCTGCACCCCTCTCACTCTTCTCCCTTGCCTCTCAATAATGGTGGTGGTGATGGTGGCGGTGATGGTGGCGGTGGAGGTGGTGATGATGGTGGCGGTGATGGAGGTGGTGATGATGGTGGCGGTGGTGGTGGCGGTGATGGAGGTGGTGGAGGTGGTGAGGTGGTGATGATGGTGGCGGTGATGGAGGTGATGGAGGTCGTGATGATGGTGATGATGGTGGCAGTGGTGGTGGTGGTGACGGAGGTGGTGGAGGTGATGGTGATGGTGGCAGTGGTGGTGGCAGTGACGGAGGTGGTGCTGACGGTCGCGGTGATGGAGATGGTAGCAGTGATGACGCTGATGGCGGTGGTGATGGTGGCTACCGCCAAATGCCAGACTTGACCTATGTTCTTTCACTTGTTCATGACTTAGATCCCAAAATGCAGATACTATTACTACCCCCACTTTATAGTTGAGGAAACAGGGGCAAAGGAGAGTGGAACAGCTCATCCACGGCCCCGGACCTATAACAGCGTGCCTGGAGTGACACCGCAGCCTGCCTCACGTGACAGTCGTGCCTGTAACCACGGCAACACCGTATTGCACTGTTGGGTGAATGAATGAGTAAATGAGTGAGGTGTGAGGGCGTGCTTGGGGCCCCTCCAGACAGCCCCTGCTTCCCTCCCTTCAGAGCACCTCACTGAGCTCAGGCGTCAGGGACGCTGCTACCTGCAGGCTGAGCAGGCATCTGGCCAGGGAGGGGTCGGGAAGAATGTTCTCCGCGGCAGAAACAGCACGTGCTGAGTTCTGGGGCGAGAGGCGGCTGGGCTGCCACGGGTGTGAAGGCAGCAGGCGTGAGGGCTGCCACGCTCCCCCACAGCTGGGTTCTGTCCGCACAGGAGCGGTGAAGGATTTCAGGCTGGGGCAGCTGGCTGGGTCTGCAGCTTCGGCCTTCCGGCCGGGCGGGAGCCCAGGTATCAGGCCTGGGCGTGGGAGGACAGAGGAGCTGAGGGAGGCCCTCCTGGGCGGGGGTTAATTCTGAGCGCTCGCTGCTGTGGCCTGCGTGGCTCCCCCGCCAGGGAGCTGGCCCACATATGGCGCAGCGACCTCTCCTGTCTCCCCGCTGCTCCAAAAGAAAATCAGCGGCAAGAATTCCAGGTACACACCAGGGGCTGAAGGCCACTTCCAGGCCCCACCCAGACCCAGCACAGGGGCCTCGCCACCGGCCTGCCCCGGGGTGGTCCCCGCGCTCCTGAACTTGAAGTCGGGGTGCTTTTCAGGCTCGATCTAGTTTCGAATCTGTACAGAAATGGTGTCCACCTGCTCTTCCGTTGACTGGCGCTTTCCCTCCCTCCCCCCATTACGATGAAACAAAAAGACTCACAGCTGGAAACGGAGAGAAGCAGACCCTTCCAAGAGGCAGCTAGCAGACCAGTGATAACAGCACGCTCCTCCTCAGGCTCCTCCTCGGCCTAAGCCCCGTCAGCTGAAAGCAGCCTTGAGTGGACCGCTAAGCGGAAAGAGCGCCAGGGCGCCGCGCCCCGCAAGCGCCCCGCAAGCGCCCCGCACGCTGCGCCAGCCCAGGGTGGGGCGCAGTCTGTGTCACAGTGAAGTGTGGCGCGCCCTGTGGCTTACGGAGTGCCTCCCTGAGGCGCAGTCCCAAGTGGGGTCCCCACGCGTAGGACGAGCTCCGCCCTCGCTGCAGCTCACCCTCGCCGCAGCGCTGTGACAGGGTCACTGCTGCTCCCTTTCGCCCTTGGGGAAACCGAGGCACAGCACTCACACGAGGGGGCTGCTTGGCCGGCGCCAGCCAGGCAGCATGGGAAGACGAGACCTGACCCGACCCCGTCCTCACGCCCCTCCCCGGCTGCTGCTGTCAGGACACGCAGCAGGTGCTGACCCTGACCCCAAGGTCCAGCTCCTTCCCTCCCTCTGGCTGGGAGAAAGGGGACTTCGGGCTTGGGGACGGTGGCTGGGTCTTGGCTCCCTGGCAGGGCTAGCGAGCAGTGGGGGACGCTGCAGCGGCCGCCCTCAGCGACCTCACTACCACGGGGCTGGCCTGGTGCCCTGAGCTCTGGCTCCAGCCCACCCGGGGCCCTGGGGGACAGGCGGTGGCTCCAAGGCCCGTTTTCCTGCCTCGCCGGGAGCTGAGTAGGGTGACGCCATCGCCGGCTCCCCCCTCCCCCTTGGGCCAGAAGCACCTGGCGCCAGGCCGGAAGCCCACACAGCACAGCCTGCACCCACAGCAGATGGGAAAGTGGGGCGGCGGGGAGTCATGTTCTTGTGATTCAGACAGGGGGTGGGGAGGGGGCCACACGATGGGGGAGCCCACCTCCTCCTCCCTGGCCTTCCTGCTGGCGGCGGAGCTGGGGGCTCTGGCAGAAGGACAGCTGTGTGCGCCCCCCCACCCGCCACCCGCACCCGGCTTCTGCGGCGCCTCGGCAGCGAGTAGACAGCGCTGGGGATCCCGCTCCCGTGGTGCTGCTCCCCGGGGGGAGGCATCTGGGGAGGGAAGGTGTAGTGGAGGGGAGCCATAGTAGAAAATTCAAAAGGACCTCTGCCTCAGTTTCCCCGTCTGTGTAGTGGGGGCACACAGCGCTGCGAGAATTCGAGTAAACATGTGTTAGCTGCCAAGAACAGGGCCTGGCAGGCTGTCTCGAGCTGAGCTCGGTACAGCGGGGACCAGGGAGCAGAACAGCAGGGAGCCGGACCGGACCGAGGACACGGCCCCCAGCGCGTGGAGACTGCATGTGCCCAAGCTAATCGCCCCGTCCAGGCCTCCTGCAAGCGCTGCCAGCTCGTGCACGGGGCAGCTGGCCTGCCACTTGCCTGGGAAGGTTCTGGAAGGGGCAGGTTCCCTGCGGCTAATGCATTATGCTTTTCCATGTGGGCTGTGATTTCCATGCTTCCGTCCTTACGAGCCTTACAACCACCCCAGGAACGGACAGAGTGGAGCCCGCTGTCTTACAGAAGGGGACCCCGAGGCTCGGTGACGCGTCAGTGTCGGAGTCACGACTCAGCCCCGTGGCAGTGTGAGGCGCCCTCTGCACGGCGCGGGCAGGGCGCCAGGGAGGGGCAGGCACTGCAGCTCTCGCATGCCTCTCCCACCTGCGCGGGTCACCGGGCCTCCAGCCCAGCCTGGGGCTGAGCGGGGGTTCACGTGATGGGCCGGGGGGGGGGGCGGGGAAAGGTGGCCCTAGCTGTGTCAGGCTCTTCCGTGTTGCCCGGGAGGGGCCTGGTTCGCCCAGAGTCACACAGTTGCGTCCTCCAGCTGGATCCAAGCCTTGGGCTGCCTGCCCGGCGTTTGACCTGATGGCCCGCACATCCTCCTCACAGCCTCCCTAGCCCCACTCCAGGAGGCTGACCCTGGGTCTGCCCGGCACCCACACACATCTCCTGGCACTGCCTCAGAGCAGCCTGGCACGGGTGAGCTAGGATAAGACTGTCCGCCCCTTTCTGGGCCCGCCAGCGTACAGCCTTCGGGCTATGGAGGGCTTGGCGGGGGCTTCGAACCATCCAGGGTCTTTTTTTTTTTAATTTTATAACAGTTTTTTTTTTACATCATTTTGTACATTTTTCACGTAGGGTCTCTTACAGTTGGCCCACCCCTGCCATGGGCCGAGGGGCCCTTGGGACAGGAGCGGCTCCCTGCTGCTCGCCATCATAAACTCGCCCCGGAAACAGCCCGCCAGAAACCAGCACCTGTCTGTTGCCAGAGGCTGGCGCCGCCACCCGCTACTTGCACTTGGGGAAGCGGGGCTCACCTGGGGCTCACCTGTCAGGGACGTGGGCATGTGCCAGCCCTGTGTCTCCCCCCGGCCCCGCCCAGAGCCCTCACGCGCCCCTTTCTCTGCCCTGTGAGCAGCAGGAGCTCCCAGCCCGTGTGAACTTCTCAGCTGCCCCGGTGCCCGCGCCCGCAGCGCCCACGGCCCTGCTCTCCAAGATGGACGAGCTGGAGGGGCAGCTGCTGGCCAAGGTGCTGGCCCTGGAGAAGGAGCGTGCCGCCCTCAGTCACAGCAGCCACAGGCAGCGGCAGGAGGTGGAGAAGGAGCTGGACGCCCTGCAGGACCGCGTGGCCGAGCTGGAGCACGGTGGGTCCTGGGCCGCAGCGGGCACGGAAGAGGCCCTGGCCCCCAGGGGCCTCGGGCCGCGGGGCACCGGGAGACAGCTTCGTGCTCCGGGGCAAACGTGAGGCCGGTGGTGGCCGAGGATGAGACACGAGGCGGGCGGGGGCGGGAGGCGGCGTCACTGACAGCACTCCCTGGCAGGGAGATCGTGTGGGGCTGGGAAGCAGGGCGGCGGCTTCAGTCTCCACACACTCACGGGGGCTCATGGATGAGGAAAGTGCGGTCCAGAGAGGTCAGTGACTTGCCCAAGGCCACGCAGCCGGTAAGCAGTGGACCCGGCCTTAGCACCAGCTCTGTCGGCTCGAGTCCACACAGTGTCCACCGCCACTGTATCACCTTCCGTGAGTTAGGACGCTTTTGCATTTAGCGCCAGGCATTGCCGGGGGTCAGAGAAACACCATGTCTGACGGTGCCTGGGGACAAGCGCCAGGGCACGGGGCTCCGGGGTCCGAGCCGCCAGCAGGTCACGCCGCGTGACGCTGGGTCACTCTGTGGCTCTAGCTCACCTCCTTTCTCTGGCTCATTTTCCTCATCTGAAAACGAGGGCTCAGGGACCAGGAGCTCGCAAGGGCCTTTCCTCTCTGAAGTCCTGCGAGGATCACCCTTAACGGGGCTCGGAGACACGTTGGGGGCTCCAGGGGGAGCCAGGAGCGATGAGCGGGGCTGCCTCAGACACGGCAGAGGAGGAGCCCAGGATGCTCCCTGGAGGAGGGGGGCCTTGAGCTAGCCCTCGAGAGCAGGACAGAGAGGACTGGGGGTGGGGGGGCGCAGCCAGGCGACCGCTGCAGGGAGGCGCGGCAGGAGCGGGACACGGGCGAGAGGCAGACCCGTCCCTCCTCAGTCCTGAGCCTTCTCCCATGCATCTCCTAAGGGTTGGGGGCGACACCCCTTGAGAGGCTGCAGGGCAGAGGAGGGAGGACACTAGCCACGTCCGTCCACGCGCCTGTGGGCAGTCCCGTCCCTTCTGGGACGCAGCCTCATCTCTGCAGTGGCTACGACGAGGCGCTTCCTCGCCTTACCGCATCAGCTTCCGTGTGGAAACCCAGCCCGACCCAGAACTGGGCCCTGCATTCCCGGCTCCAGCCTTCCACCCCCAGCTCCCAACCGCCCCGGGTTCAGGAATCAGGAGGGGCCAGCCTGAGGGCAGTGCCCCGGGGCTCCCAGTGGACACCCTACTTTGGAGTGGAGAGGCCAGAGCGAGGACACAGCTGGGGGCAGAGACGCCCTGCAGACGCGGGCTCTGAGCTGGAGACCCCTCGCGGACCAGGGCTTCCCGGGCTGCCTGCTTGAGATCCCAGCTCTGCCCCTTCCTAGCTGTGTGGCCTTGAGCTTGCTTCTTAACCTCTCTGTGCTGAGCTTTCCTTACTGTAAGATGAGGATTTTAACAGCAGCGGTCTCCAAGGCTTTTTGCAAGAACGAACGAGGCCAGCCCTGGCAGAAAGCCTTGTCTGTGGCAGCAAACTAAAAATGGCCGCCGCTGACACTTGCTGCGTGGGCCAGGCCCTCGGCTCCACCTGCCCCACCCTCCCTCACACGGCCCCGGGAGGGAGGCGATGCGATGACCCCCGCGAGACCGAGACGTGACGCTGCACTGGGCTGGGCGGTGGCGGTGGCGGTGGCGGGACCTGAACGAGGGCCAGCGCAGGTCCAGCGTCCCCGTGCCTCACCACCCACCTCAGCGGCCCTCACTCCGGACCGCCCTGACCCCCACCTCAGCAGTGCACGCCGACCCCCACCATGTCCTTGCTCACCCCAGGACCCTCAGCCTACAGCCCCCCAGACGCCTTCAAGGTCAGCATCCCCATCCGCAACAACTACATGTACGCCCGCCTGCGGAGAGTGCTGCCTGAGCTCCACGCCTTCACCGTCTGCACGTGGCTGCGGTCCAGGTCGGGCGGCACCGGCCAGGGCACCCCTTTCTCCTACTCGGTGCCCGGACAGGCCAACGAGATCGTGCTGCTGGAGGCGGGCAACGACCCCATGGAGCTGCTGATCAATGACAAGGTGAGGCGCGGCACTGGGCGGCGCAGGACGGGGCGGGCCGGGTGGGGGTGCCCCTCCAGAGCGCCTCACGGCTCTGCCCCAGACTCGGGGCGCTGAGTCTCCTGCTAAGTGTCCAGCACACAGGAGGTGCCTGCTGGTTCCAGGCCGGGCTCTGGGCAGGCAGAGCCAGACTGGCGGGGGCTGGTGGAAGCGTGCTGCAGGCGTGCGCCTGAGCAGCAGGGCTGTGTCTGCCCGCAGGCCCTGCTCTTTCTCCCAGACAGACAGAAGGAAATGAGGTCCTAGGGCCCGACTGGGAGAGGAGAGGAAGGGAAGAGGGGGAAGGAGCTGGGGAGGGAGGGGCGCCCACACCCCATGGCCCCCCCTCCTGTGGGCTGTAGCTGGTGCCCTGGCCTGGCTCTGGCCTGAATGCTGGGTGTGCAGCCTGGTCCTGCCACTGGCCCACTAGGTGACCTCAGACTGTCACTTACGCCTCAGGTTTCAGATCTGTAGAGCAGAAACGACCACTTCCTCTGGCCCACGGGCTTGTGGCCACAAAGAAATGGCTTAGCTACCTGCGAGGCGCTCCGAGGAGCCCGGCACTTGGTAGCCTCGCTCTTCCCTGCACCAGGCCCCGTGCTGTAAGCGCTCTCTGGACACTACCAACCGCAACCCTCCCACTGGCACTGGGAGTACGTGCCCAGCAGCTGGGGCATAGAGGGGGGGAAACAGGGCATCCCCACCACACAAGTGGGGGAGGGGTGACTCGGGCCGTGGGCTCCAGCAACCACCTCTTAACCTCCCCGCTATTCTGCCCTTGAACCGTCCACCCCCCACGTCCCCACTCCCATCTCTAAATCTCTGCTCCATTGCTTTGGCTTTTGCAAGCACGATGGCCTCTCAAGGCTCCCTGAAAATCTCACATCCACTCGTGACCAGCCCACAGACACTCAGAGCAGCTTGGAGAGGTGGGCGCAGCGGGACGCACCTCTCATGAGGGTCCTAGAGGAGGAGGGAGAGGGACGCACCTCTCGTGGGGGTCCTAGAGGAGGAGGGAGAGGGA